GAATAATAGTTCGTTCAAGCTTGACCAGGGTGGACAATGAGGTGCGTATACAGAAGTACTCCGTGGGATAACCGCCGAACATTCCCCGACCAGGCTGGGCTGGATACATCACAATGGGCTGAATGCGATCCATCATTACCCGAATGCAGGGCGTTGTTTCGGGCAGTGTCTTGACCTGTCAATTGGAGGTGAGCCAACTGTACAACTAGGAAGGAGACTTGGTTGATCCTGAAGAAGTAGTGGTGGGGGTTAGTGGTTATTAAGAGAATATGGATTGTTGAATAGATAAATGGATGAATGGATGAATGCAGTCATTGAGGAAAGGAAAGGGAAAGGGAAGGAAGGGAAGGGGGAAGAAGCAAGTATATACTTCAACAGTATTTACTCTTACTGTACTCCGTACATGTACATAGATAACCTACTCGGAGGTATGAGCTTCTTCCTTCTTCCTCTCCACTCCTTCTCCTCCTCAAGAAAACAATATAATTTATTATAATTATCACCAATTCCTAATCAGTGGACATCCACATGGGACTTATGATACTGATACTCATAGTATCATCCCATCTAGATATCCTATACTAATTATAACCAAGTTAATCTTAATTCTGCCCGACCAGCACAGAATTCGTTCCCCGCTCCGATTCGTGGTTCGTCCGTCTTGACGCTTGCCAATTCAAACTGTTCGCTTTCTGCTTCTCTTACTTCTTCTGCTTCCTTTTCTCCTCCTCTCGGGCATTCTCTCTCTCTCTCTCTCTCTCTCTCTCTCTCTCTTCTTCTTCTTCTTTTCTTCTTCTTCTTCTTCTCTGCGTTCCTCAGTTTCACTCTCTTATTCTTACCTACCTATTTACCTACTACTTGCTTTTATCTATCAGAATCCTTCCGTCCAAACTACCCCCTCTGTTTAGCTGCAATCAATCAATCCCCTGGGCAAGGACTAACTGATCGACATCATTTTGCCCACTACTGCCATCATCCTGCATCATCGACTCCTCTCTCTGTCTGACTGGTTCTTTCAGTCCAGCTTAACTCTCCTTCCCTGTGCCAACAACTAGTACCCGAGTGCCTACCAGACCTATTTTCTGCTGTGTCTCTCTCCGTCTTTCCGTCCATATTTACTTCCTCCCTCCCGCACTCGCAATCCCTCCGTTCATTCTAGACCATCTTTGATCTGGGCGGCGGCCCCATGCCCGGCACTTGAGTCTCACTTTCTCCTCCTCCCCCCACCCTTCTCTCTCTCGGTCATTACGCCTCCCACTCCCCCCCCCCCCCAAATGGCCCTCGCCGCCCCTCCCCGCGGTGTTATCCCCGGGGATCTCCTGCTCGTCGTCCGTGAGTATTTCCATTCTTATTTATGTTCATGTTCTGTTACCTTGCTTGCGATAGCCTTGCTCACCTGCGCAGATGATTTCGATGCCCGCGGCCCCGACGAGCTGACCTTGCGACGCGGTGAGAAGATTGAATTGGTCGAGCTGGATGAGGGCTTTGGAGATGGCTGGTATCTGGGCAAGGACTTGACCACCGGTTCGACGGGTCTCTTCCCTGGAGGTAGGTTTTTTAAGGGTCCAATTCTGTCTACCTACAGCTGGGCAACCGAACACTGACAGTCAATTGTCTAGTATACACCACTGCCGCTCCAAAGATCCGCAGTCGCCCTCCTGCCGAGAGCACAGCGCATACGACTTCCGAACACTCGACAGACACCGATGGCGCTGCTCTTGACGCCGAACCGCTTCTCAGAAGCGGCGAATCCACCCCTCAAGTCTCGCGCCATACCAGCATCTCCGACCTACGCGCCCCCGAGGTGCCACGGTCGCCCCCGCAACAGCAGCAGCCACAGCAACGTTCCGCCTCTTCCCCCTTGCCGGCTGCCAAGATGTCCCTTGAAATCCGCCAGGCACTGGAGGGGCAACATCGCAATGGCCAAGATAGCCCTGTCATGAATGAGACCCTCAGCGTGATAGATGAACACATCACCGATCTTAGTACGCCCCGACATAGTGTGGCCGACCGAGAGCCTTCCGTTCTGAACGACTCCGCCAGCGAATATAGCAGTCATCTCGATCACCGTCGCTCCTACATCAATGGCCATGAAACCGACGAGGAGGAAGAGCGGCAGCCACAGGAGGCCCAGGTTCGACGCTGGTCTCCTGCCTACACGGCCCGGCAGCTGCGCCAGCTAGGCATTGAGGACAAGCACTGTGACATCTTCGAGGAGCAAGAGATTAGTGGCGAAGTTCTACTCGATATGAACCAGGACTTTCTTTTTATGAAAGATTTTGACTTTGGGGTTATGGGCCGTCGATTGAAAACCTGGCACAAGATTCGCACCTTCCAGGACCAGGTCAAAGTTGCTCACAAGCAGCCATCGCCGGCAGTGTCACCAACTCTGCCGCGCAGCTCGCTGGCGGCAGTTCCTGGCTCACCTGAGCGCACACGTAGTCGAACTGGACAGACCGCGCCTTTGCTACCGCGCATCCCGACCTTGCGCACGTCGAACACGCCCCATCCTCGGCTGGTCAGCAACGCCGTTCCCAGTACCAGCAGCGGATCACCGATCCCATCGCAAAGCTCATCATTTATGGATCATTCGCGTCGCCCGTCTGCTGCGTCCGTGCGAGAAATCAATCATTCGCGTCGACACTCGTCTATCGATGCGACGACTCGCTACTCGGGAGTCGTTGATGGCTCACCAGGACCCACACAGCGCGGCTCCTTTGATCGTGCCTGGTCGTTGTCAACAGGACCCCAGCAACGCCTTCCCACGCGGCCGGGCACATCGGCCGGGACCTCGACGGGCACTTCTCCAGCATTAGAGACGGGGCTCGTACATACTGGTTTCCACCATCCAACTCAGTCGAATGGCTCAGACACGGCAGGTGCAACGCCCGATGACCTTGATCGCGGTTACTTCTCTGGCCCCGAGGGGGACACCCGCAAACAACGACGACTGTTGCAGAAACGGCAATCCGCCGCCGGGAGTGCCGATGCGCGCATTTCACCGGTCCCGGGGGAGCCCCTTCGGGTTGCGAAGCGGCATTCACGTATCAGTAGCATGGACTCGATTCGAGAAAAGGCCACGCAGCCTATTGCTCCGCCTAACAAGTCTTACACGACTCCTGCGCCGAAGGGACGACTTCGTAGTCTCAGTACCCGTCTGGTCGAACGGCGAACACCACAATCGGCCCCCGTTTCCGCGATTGAGGACCGTTCTGGAGGATCCAGTCTGTTCGGTCCGCTGTTCGGTGGGAAGTCGGAGAGCGACACACCCCGTTCGTCTCAGCAATCAACTAAGATTGGCGGCCCGAAGTTCCGTCGCGCCGTTGGCCTCCGAGCCATGTCGGATGTGGTGAGCAAGAACGTCGATACAACCGCTGCGCCGCCGTCCCCGGTTCAGGATCGAGATCCTGCTCCGCCTCGGACTGGTTCCACGACCCCTTCGACCACGAAGAGTTCTGAACGGTTGAGTACGGACGGCTCCGGTAAGGCAACCGAGGGTGGTCTGTGGCCCCGCTCCCGCCCGTCCGTCAAGACTGGCCCCAAGTCAAAGAAAGACACCAGTGCCTACATGCGTGGGTTGGAGAAGAAGTCTCCGCAGGAGCAGATGGCAGGGTGCGACTACGTTGGCTGGATGAAAAAGAAGTCCCCGAACCTGATTACCACCTGGAAGCCACGGCTATTCGTGCTGCGGGGTCGCCGATTGTCGTATTATTATTCGGAGCAAGATACAGAGGAACGAGGATTGATTGACATCACTGCGCATCGCGTGCTACGCGCCGATCACGACCCTATGGTCGCGCTGCATGCCACAATTACCGGTTCCACCGGGTCGCCAACTGCTCCTGCCCCTTCGGTTCAATTGGCCGACGGGACCTCATCGTCCGATCCCATTCCAAGCATCGAGGCACCCCGAGCTAGCAAGTCCGGAAGTGAGGGCCCGTTCTTCTTCAAGCTAGTACCGCCCAAGTCGGGATCTTCGCGGACAGTGCAGTTCACGAAGCCGGCAGTTCACTATTTCCAGGTCGACAATGTGCAGGAAGGTCGACGCTGGATGGCTGCGTTGATGAAGGCGACTATTGAGCGGGACATGGACTTACCAGTGGAGACAACGAATAAGCAGCGTACTATCAGTCTGAAGGAGGCGCAGTTGATGAACCAGCGGCCTCCGGCGTTGATGGTGGGAGCGGCAGCTGGGGCACAAGAGGGTGCGGCGCCCGAGGCGATGGATAAAGAAGATGCGTCTTTGAATGCATCATCGGAGACCACCGACGCGGAGACAGCCGCTGAATCGTTACAAACACCCGAGGAGCGAGGCTTGATGATCAAAGGGCTCGATTTGGACGGCGAGCCTGCCAGCAGCGACGGCAATGAGGATGGTTCCAGACTCTCGAAACCTTTAGAAGTTGACACTGGCCCTGTGTCTCTACTTCCGGATTCGATTCAAAGCTCGCAGTGATGCAGCATGGGGTTTACATTTTTTTTCCATTTTTCCAATCTCCCCCTTACATTCTTTTAATAGCCTCTTGTAGTGATGACGGCGAGCTCGCTTGGCGTTGATGTGATATACCCATTGGAATTTCTTTCAAAGCGGACTTGAAATGATCCGCGAAGACTTGTGATGAGTCGATAGCTTGATTAGATACTGGATTGAATGAGTTGTTGTATGGTTTTCTTTTGAAGCTCTGCATTGTCTACGAACCGACCCTGATTCACATGTTGCCCTCTAGAAGCATGGTTAACTAAAGTATAGTTGGACCTATTTCCAACTGGACCTATTTCCAACTATAGCCTACCAGATCTGTAGTCAATCACCCGGTCACACTTTCTTACCTCCTTCGTCTCCAAGCTTAGAATGAGCACTGCCTACTGTATTTACCACCGCCCTGTACTAGAAAAAGCCAACTGATAACGGCGATGGCGTGAGGATCGGCGGGCCGAGACGCGCAGGCCCATTGATTTCCCGCCGCATCGACCAACTTTCCAACAACCTCACGCCCCTCCGGATAATGATGACCGTCCCTGATGCTGCTTCTGTCTTTCAACCACACTCCTTTACTCTATTTTAATGTCCCTCCAATCCCTTCTTTGCCGTCTTTTGGTGCTGCTCGTCCCGCTGGCCGTGACGAGCAGCCTGTATCTGTATCTGTATCCCGTCGTCCACGGGTGCGCCTTTCCTCTGCCGCAGCATGACTCTCACTCTTTCTCGGATGCCTTTCTGGCCACTGTGCGACAGCATATGCCCATAGACGCTGAGCCCGCACCAGCAGCGCCATTCCGTCTTCTCGTCCTTGCAGACCCTCAACTAGAGGGAGACAGCTCGCTACCTAAGGCAGAGGATGAGCTGCCAGCGCGTCTGCGACTCCACTGGGGGCAGATATGGGCTGCCCTGACCTCTCCAGCTCTCCCTCTAAACTCGAGCTCGGCCACTGATGCTGAGTCTACGTCGGATTCTACCTCCAGCAACGCTTCAGAGTCAGACCCCAAGCCCATTCTCAACCCGGACCTCAACACCCGCGCAAACCAATCGACCCCGTTCAAGATCAACCTCCCCGCCACGCAACAAGCCATAACCAGCGCCCTGCACTCCCTCCTCCGCACCGACCTCCCCCGCACCCTCAAAGCCGCACGCAAACGCCTCGACCTCCTGGGTAACGACCACTACCTCGCGCACATCTACCGCACCCTCCACTGGTGGACACAGCCCACGCACGTCACGGTCCTCGGCGATCTAATCGGGAGTCAATGGGTCAGCGACGAGGAATTCCAGCGCCGAGGCCACCGATACTGGGAGCGAGTATTCCAGGGTGGTGTGCGGGGTGACTCGTTCATCCCTTCTTCTGCTCCCCCTGCCGACACCGACGACGACGACGACTTCGCCCTCAACCCCACCACCCAACCCTCCCGCTGGACCAACCGCCTCCTCAACATCGTCGGCAACCACGACATCGGATACGCGGGGGACGCCAGCGCCGCGCGCATCGCCCGCTTCGAAGAGACCTTCGGCAAAGTCAACTGGGACGTGAAATTCTGGCTCAACACGTCCTCATCCTCAACCTCAACCTCAGCCTCAAACCACGATGCAACCCCACAAATCCACATCATCAACCTCAACTCCCTCACCCTCGACACCCCCGCCCACAGCCGGGACATCCAGTCCGCCTCCTACGACTACCTCAACGCCCTCATCGCCGACCGTCTCGCGCCGGTCACCGACCGCTCCACGTTTACGTTGCTGTTGACGCATCTCCCGCTGCACAAGCGGGCGGGCGTCTGCGTGGACGCGCCGCATTTCAAGTTCTTCGAGGAGGACGACGATCCCCCAATTGGGGAGGAGAAAAGGTGGTTTGCCGGTGGGCTGCGCGAGCAGAATCATTTGAGTGAGTGGGTGAGTGGGAATGGAGTGTTGGAGGGGGTGTTTGGGATGAGTGGGGATGGCGCGGTGGAAGGTGGTGGATGGGGCAGGAAGGGGTTGGTGTTGACGGGGCATGATCATGAGGGGTGCGATGTTTTGCATTTTGTGAGGTGGGGTGGGGGGTTGGACTCGGTCTTGAAAGGTGATGGCGAGGGTGAGGGTGAAGGGAAGGGTGAGGGCGAAGGCGAGGACAAAGGCACAGGCAAACAGGAAACTGAAGTTGCTGCTGCTGCTGCTGCAGACGCAGACCCCGAGCAGAGGGACTGGCAATGGGACGCCAAACGCTACTCCTCCGCGCAGGAGGCCGCGACTACTACTTCTACGTCAACGCCCTCCATCCGCGAGGTCACCATGCGCTCGATGATGGGTGCGTATGGCGGGTACGCGGGCTTGCTGTCCGTGTGGTTTGACGTGGACAAGCAGGAGTGGGAGTATGAGATCCAGATGTGCGCGGCAGGGGTGCAGCACATCTGGTGGGCGGTGCATGTGGTGGATCTGGTGACTCTCGGCGTCGCGGTCGTGGTACTCCTTTTGACAGCGGTGCGGTCGAAGAAGCCCCAGGAACGGAAAGACGATGTCAAGAGCCGACCTGAGAAGGTTAAGACATAAGTTCACAACAGAGATGATATTATACACATTTATATAAGCCTTAGACATCAAGTATAGCAAGCATAGATCATGATAGATCATTGAGGACATTCAACCCTCAAATACATACGCATTCACATGGACAATGCAGATAGTCAATAGTTACGGGTACCAAGAACATGAACTACATCGATACAAGCAACGTGCCTACAGCAAGAGAGGATATAACTTTTTTATGAATTCATTTTCATTTTATTCGAGGTCATAGATTTGAATTGGCAACCCCCACCCATGATTCCGAGCTTTGGTATCAGTTCCCCAAAATCCGCTTTGTCACACACCCGCAAGATAATTCAAGGCTTTTTTACATGACAACACCGGAGTTGGAGGCGATACGCTGTAGAGGAAGCAGCCCCGTTAGTAACCATTGAATGTCTTGTCTGGAGGGAGAGGAGGGGGAAAACGTACAGGCCAAAGCTCAGCGGCCTCCTTACCGACGGGACCGGTGATGGCAGAGCCCTTCATCTCACCCTTGGCGTTGACGATCTAACAACGAATATTAGCTACCTGCCGGAATTCCAGAGACATTGGGCTCGAGCCACGACAGAACTTACAACACCAGCGTTGTCCTCGAAGTAGAGGTAGATACCATCAGCGCGGCGCCAGGGCTTGCTCTGGCGGACGACGACGGCGGGCATGACCTTCTTACGGAGCTCAGGCTTTCCCTTCTTGACGGTGGCCATGACCATGTCACCGACACCGGCAGCGGGGAGACGGTTCAGGCGAGCACCGATACCCTTGACGGAGATGATGTAAAGGTTGCGGGCACCGGAGTTGTCGCAGCAGTTCATCACGGCGCCACTGTTTGCGACTGTTAGTTTTTCGATCGATTGTCATGTCGTTGATCTCGGTGGCGGGAATTTGTTCAAGTGGTGGGTTGAACACTGGTGGATGGGATCGATGTTCATCGGGGATGGGAGCATTCGATGCACACGTACCAAGGAAGACCCAGGGTCATCTTGAGCTTGTTGCCGGAGGGACGCCTGTAAAAGAGATGGACATGGTCAGCTTTCGTTGTTGTCGATGTAATGGTAGTGCTGAGCAGATCAAATTCCTCCCCCCCCAAATTCGCATTTCTTTTCCTCAACACCCGAGGAGAAGAAAAATTGCATCCTCAAGATTCCATTCGTGATAGCGTTGACCATTCGATGCCGGAAACCGTCGTAAAAAGAATATCGAAAGATTTTCGCCGTGAAGTTTTCTCGTCAATGACCCTCAATCTATCCTCGAAAGAACAGAGAGAGAAAAAAACTACCAGCGGTCGTTGAAGTCCATACAAAAGGGCGCTTGTCGAATCGTATCCCATCTCTTTTGTTTCGTGTCTGTTCCCTCGACTGCTCGATCCTCTCTCCTTCTCCTTGTTGACCAAGGTGCAGGAAAAAGCCTCTCGAGCGCCAACATCCCAGTAATCGATGGCACCGGTGCGAGAATTCGTCGTCCTCCGATTTCCCGTATCCCAGATCATTCCGAGTTCCACCTCTTGCGATGCAATTTTTCTTCCCTCCCTCCCCTTTGCCTTCTCCTCCAATACCTCATTTCCTTCAATGAGCGAAAACGGGGACGGTCAACTCACGGTCTCTGAGACATCTTGGCTGCTGTGTATCTCTAAACACGGGGGTTGTCGGGAGAGATGGAGAATTGGGCGATGGACACAACGACAACAAGGTCGAACTCGAGCTTCGTTCTCTCAGCGGGCGGGCGTCGGGGGGGGGTCGCACGGCGGGCGTGTGGGCGGTCGGGGCGGTCGGTCGAATCCTCGCTTAGTGGGCGCGCAAATTTAGTGGGCGAAATCTTGGCGGAGTGCGTCTGATTGGTCGAGGCCGGAAATGCCCTAGGGCTAGTCTGCTAGGCTGAGTAGAGGTCATGTGATACTGAGATCTCGTCACGTGGCTTGGAACTATAGCTAGGGCAAGGATGTAGATGAGATACCTTAGATGCGACTGAAGGCTCAGTCAGAAAACAACTAACTGATGATTGTCCCTCTGCATGGCAAAGTGGTGGCTATGCCGTTGACTCGATCAATACCAATCCGTGAACCTTTATTTTTTGTATGTTTGCACTGGCTTTCGTTCGCCTCTACCACTTTACAAGAGCACATAGGTGGCTCTCGTCGAGCAACCGGAGGTTACTTCCAAGACACATGAACATCCTATATCATCATGCATTCGCCTAGTACATACATCTAAGAAAAAGTAAAAAAATAGAAGCAAAAATCAGACCAGAGATATATGTCGGAATTAATTCCCATGCAGAAGATCGCAACCAGAAACACCATTACTGCCCGTCCCTTGCGCCAGCAACCCCCGAGATTACAGGAGCCTCGTTAGTCCTCACTCTTCGTGGGCTCGTCAGGCTGCGTTGTCTTCGTGGCCTCCTTGGCTCCGTCACTCGTCTCCGACTCGGCCTTAGGAACAGTCGAGTCGCCCTTTGGAGCCTCGGGGCTCTTTTCCTTCGGTTCGCTGGCATCGGCTGACGCAGCCGCTGACTTAGCGTCTTCGACCTCGGTGGTCTCGGGTTGCTGGGTCGTCTCTGTCGAGGGTGACTGGCTCTTGGCAGGCGCTGATGAGCCCTCAGGTGCGGTGTTCTCGAGGGCAGAAGTCTCTGCGCTAGGTTTCTTCTCCTCGCCCTTGTTCTCTGCTTGGGCGACGGCGGGTGCGCTCTCAGCCTGCTCCGGTCCAGGCGCCTCATCTCCCGCGTCCTCCATTGTCGTATCTTCATCCTGGGGTTTGGGGGACGGTTGACGAGAGATGGGCGCAGAGGGAGCAGCCTGATCTCCGAGTCCATCATGTGCCAGTTCCATAGCATCTGCACCCGATGCCGCCTCAGCTCTGGCCGGCAGGTCAGCGGCCGCGGGCGAAGCCTGTGCCCCGGTCAATGGCTCTGGAGCTTCCGTCATCTTCGTATCGGCGGTCAGGTCCATGTCGTCGTCGGGGATTGAGGAAGCGTCGACAGGGGTGGCCATGCCGCTCTCCGGGCCCGAATCAGCAACGTCCAGATTCCGATAATTAACCTGGTTTCTGCGCTTCATCGACTGGGGCTTCCGGTGCACACCATTGGCCGCAGCTTCATCCTCATCTTCACTGTCACTGAGCTCGCCGGGCTTTTCGATGTACTGGTCAAAGCGTCGCTTCGTGTAGCGCTTGTCCTTGTTCTCATCTTCGTCCAAATCATCCAAAATCGCATCCGCTTCGTCGTCCATGCCGTCCACAAGAGACTCCCGGGGTACATCAGTCATTTGCACGGAAGGCGCAAAGGCGGTGCGCTTGAGATTCTCCACAACTTGCGTCCGGATTTTGTCGAGGTATTCTTTCGTGTTGGCATTGTCCATGTTAGAGGGCCGCACATCCAATTCGTAGTCGGGAGCAAAGTACTACACTTGTTAGTCAGTTTAACCCTAATCCGCACAGTCGATCTTACCTCGTAGTAGTCGTTATAGGGAAGCTCCGCGGTCAAGCTGTCTCCCACAAGGATACCGGTCTCAAACGCCCAGGTTCGAGCAACGTTACGCATCGTGTAACCACCACCGCCAAGAATCAGAGTGGGCAGGTTGAAGCTCTTGATAAAGTTTACACAGTTGGCGTGGCCGCGCATGCTGAGGTTAAAGCACCCCAGACGATCACCTGAGAGGCTGTCACCTCCGCACTGCAGGACCACGGCTTCGGGCCGGTACCATTCCATCACGCTCTTGATAACAGGCTCAAAAATGCTCTTGTAAGAAGTATCGTCGATACCGTCACGAAGGGGGAAGTTGACAGCGTAGTGCTTGCCCTGGCCCACGCCGATATCGCGGAGCTCACCGGTTCCCGGGAAATATTCACCATACTTGTGGAAAGAGACTGTCATGACACGATCGGTCGTATAGAACGCTTCCTCGACACCGTCTCCATGATGAACATCAATGTCAACATAGAGCACTCGCTGCTTGAAACGCAGCAGCTCCAAAATGCCAAGAACAATATCTACCAACCAGTCAGTCAACGTCAAGATTAAACCCAATATTCTTCCTTTAGCTCACCGTTCACGTAGCAAAAGCCACTAGCTTCGCTCTTCTTGGCGTGGTGAAGACCACCCGCCCAGTTGACCGCGATATCGCATTTGTTCCTGTTCAACCGTGCCGCACCCTCCATACTACCTCCCGCGCTGATACCGCAGAATTCAAAGAGCCCGTCGAAGACAGGGCAGTCGTCACCGACATTGTACTTGCTCTGTTCTTTGGCAAAGGAGTCCATATTATCCGGGGTCACCTTGGAAAGGAAATCGATGTATTCATCGGTGTGGAACTGGGTCATTTCGTATTTGGAGGCCGGTTTCGCACGCTGTGGCGATCTTGCGGTTAGCACCTCCCTAACCACCAGAGGGTTGCCAGCTAGACTCACGTAGATTTCCATCTTCTTGTAGAGACCATAGTTCATGACAAGACTGTGCGTCATCCTTATGCGGTGAGGCTTCATGGGGTGACCCGACACATAGGCATAGTTTCCAACGTCCGAGTCGTAGAAGTAAGCGACCTTCTTACCGCGGTCCCCCGACCCGTTGGTGATAGGGTCCAAAGGAGGCAAGGAAGTCGACATGTTGGAAGTCAACGTGTAAGTACACGAGACGGATCCTCACGCAGTTCAGGAGTTGGGGGATTCTGTGGATTATGCGCGGTGTTTTCTCGGTCTGACCACAACGGAGCTGAATGGGAGAAAAAGGGAGGAAATGGAATTCAGACCAAGGCAAGAAGCCAAGTCTGAGTGACAGAAGGTATCCCCTCGTCAATCAACCAAGCAAATTGATCGTGGTAGCGGGATTGGAACAAGGAAGAGGCATTCCCAATAAGGCGGGCAAACGATAACTTAAAGATGGGGAACGGGAACAAGAGAGGGAAGGGAAGGAGAGACGCAAAGGCGGGAACCCCGAGCTGCTCCACCGCCTTCGTCAGGCTTCTTGGAAGCTCGACCGATGGCTTCACGCTTGAGTTGCGCCGCTCACCACTCATCTTTCCGTCAACTCCCCGCTGCTCACTCTTGCCTCCCTAGAACCCTTTAGATCTCATTTACGACCCCGTCATTTCAAGCGA